GGAAAATATCTTTCTACAAGACAGTGCCGTTGTGTGGCCGGACAAGCCTAAAAGCATAATCATCAAATGGCCCAGTATGATAGGAAAAACGGTTTGAGTCAGATCACTCAGTCCACATAATTATTTAAGTGGGCATTTGGACTTCAACAAATATGTGTACTCCATTGAGGCATGTTACAATATCCATTGGAGTATACGTATTTGTTGAAGTCCAAATGCCCACATAAATAATTATGTGCGTCGAGTGATCTGGACCAAGCCATTTTTCCTATCCTACTTGGTCCTTTGATGATTATGCTTTTAGGCATGTCCGGCCGCGTAGTGGCACAGTCTGATAGAAAAATATTTTCTCTGGCCCAAATTTGAAGACCCTCAGGTATGACGAATGAATCTGGTGACCACCGTGACACGAACGGAACAATCGGAGGCTGAAAAACGGGTTCGTAGTTGCTGATTAAATTGTAGTATTGCAACATAAACGATTTGGGGTCCTTTTCTTTAATTGCCTGAAGAGCTGCATCTCTAGAACCAGTATTTAATGCTTCAGTGTAGACTTATGCGGCGGAATGTTTACAGCCTCTGGCGGCATGTCCGTCTATCTGCAACTAACCGCATTCCCAGACATCACCTTCATTCTTGATATATTCCTTGATGTCTGTTGCGGATTTTGCACCTTGAAAACTTGGGTGGAGTGCTCCCCTCCGACTCAGAACTGTTATGTCGAAGAATCTGTTATTTGTGCAGCAGAACCGTCCCTCGAACTCTAACAGGGCGTGCAAATGGGGTTCTCCTTTGGCATGGAGTTCCCTAGAAATTTTAATGAATTTAAGGGTTGTGGGGTAGTGAAGATTTTTTAGGTAATCGAGGGCTTCATTTTTTGGGAACCGAACACCTCGGATATGTGAGAAAACAATTTTTGGAATTGAGTTTAAATTGGTTTGGGGCCATTTGCGAATTGTCACTCTTTGGTGTCACTCTTTCGCTCCGGAGGAAAACTTTTAAATGAATGGGTGATAGGGGGACAATATATGGGGGGGGGGGGGACATCCTGTTAATATTACAAGGATGCCCTCCCCCGACTTTATATGTTGGGCCCCGCTCGGAGTAATTTGGGAATTTTGTACCACGGAGGAATAAAACAGGCCCACGTGTCTCAAATTAAGCGGCATATGAATTTAATGCTTGAAATTTGAATTGGAATGTGTACAAAACGAGTTTATGTGGTGGGGGATATTGTGAATGACATAAAGGTGATATGATGTCACTTTTTAAAAGTAAAAGCCTCACCCAATCCCAACTACTCAAATATCCCTAACATTTTGGCTTCCCACGGACTCTATTTAAGTTTGTAGAGGATATTTGAGACACTGAATATTTAATCTCAAAAATTGGAATCCTAATGGATTTAACTCTGGAAATTACAAGCTTTACTGGAAAAGCATGTATTTTACTCCAGGACATATCAACTTCGTGTTGTGATAACAGTGTCGCATTTATAGCATGGTACAACACCCTACAGTTTGAGCTTGATTGTCTGTCGGATGCATTATTGCATGTCTTTGCTGAGAGTGCTAAGCTAGAGGAGAATTCAACATTTAGCTATGGTGCTGGACAGACATAATTTGTAATAAATATATTAAACTGAGTGTGGTGAGTTGATTGTATATTATAATAATGTATGTGCACAACAATGAATAATTTATATGTATTCAATAAATTCAAAACTGAATATTTTTTGTTTGTTCTACATCAATGATGTAGCGCTGAAACATGTCTACAAAATACTGAATACCCTTAATTACATTATTAATACTCAAAACTCCTAGATTGTCTAAATATTGCAAAATGTATCCATGCTTTCTGTAATCCTAGAACTCGTCTGGCGTTGTGATTGAATCAGATCTGTATATTCACAAAGTTTAGCTCTGTGACAGACGTTGGTGTTTATCTTGAAATACTGAGGATTGTGTACCTCCCATATGTAGGCACCTCTGCTGCATTGTCCCATATTTATTTTTCTGTTCTCTATTGTATTCATTTTTTGGTTCAATAATGCTAATATTGTTTCTGGCTTTTTCCTTTATTGTAATGTATTAGGATTTGTTCCTCTCTTTTTTATCATACTCAAAATTATGTGTGTTTCTAGTAATTGATTGTTGGTATTTCAACTTGACAGCATGTGTTTCGAATGATTCATCTTAATATTCAACAAGTACATAGTATTATAAGTTTGCAACAACAACATTCAAGCCTTAGTCCCAAAAGATATTGGGGTTTGTTAAACGTGAATCGATACATATTATCACCACCAAAAGGAAAAGAAAGAAAAGAAAGATAAAAAGATAAGCTACGATAAAAAGATAATATAAAAAGCGATGGATATATATATATAAAAATGATAGAATAAAAAGGATTAAAAGAACACAAACACACACATATACAAAGATAAAAGGATAAAAGAACAAGAAAAAGAAGTTGAGGGGAAAAAGATGCTAAGAAATCACTCCTCCACTTTGCTTTCTCCAAAACCAAACCCTCATTTGGCCCAAGAAGAAGCATATCACTTCTCACTCCTCTAATCCATGTTTGTTTGGGTCTTTCACTCCCACTGTTCCCTGCCTCTTCTCCACACATCTTAACTCGTTTGACAAGTGCATCACTCGGTCTTCTACCCACATGACCAAACCACCGCAGACAAGACTCCCACATCTTATCTTCAATAGGTGCTACTCCTACCCTTTGTCTGTTCGTCTCATTTCCCACGCGGTCCTTTCTAGTATGCCCACACGTCCAATGTAGCATGCACATCTCTGAATGTGACATTGTTTCGCCGTCCAACACTCTACGTCATACAGTAATGCGGACCTAGTTGTCTTCCTATAAAATTTACCCTTCAGTCTAGTTAGCACACCTTGATTGCATAAAAATCCTGATGCACTCTTCCATTTTATCCACCCTGTTCATATTCTATGGGATACATCTCCATCTAATTCACCGTCATTCTGAATTATGGAGCCCAAGTAACAGAACATATCGCTGACCGGTATCTCTTTACCATCTAGAGTAATTCCGATATTACCATTGTTTCTACCTCCACCAAACTTGCACTCTATATACTTTGTCTTGCTTCGAATTAGTCTGAAACCCTTGTTCTCCAATGTTTGTTGTCATACTTAGAACTTTGCTTTAACATCTAATTGCGTCTCATCGACCAATATAATATCGTTGGCAAACATCATGCACCACGGTATATCATCTTGAATTGACTTTGTAAGTTCATCCATGATTATGACAAATAATCAATAACAGGATGCGCGTAATACTCGAGCGATGAAAGAACCACTGAAGAGGAGAAGAATGATGAGCGTATCGTTGTGGTTATGCACCTCGAAGCTCGTCGTTGAGGGCTTGGAGCAGGAGACAATGACTGAATGTATCGTCGTTGTTAACTGCTCAGCTTTTGCCGCTGATCGTTCGCCGCTCACTGTTCACCGCTCACAACACTTCGAAGCTCACCGTAGGGAGAGATGATGAGCAGATCGGAGGAAATGATAACGGATCAGAGAAGATGGTGACCAGATTAGAAAAGAGTGATAAAAGAAGATAGAATGTGCCATGAGCTGCTGTGAGCGAAGAAGAATGATGATGTGCAATGTGCGATAGTTGTGGGATGCACGATTGAGAAATTAGAAGAGGGGTATTTTTGGAACAAAAGTCCTATTTAGGGAATAAAAATACTCCTACTCCTAATTAGGAATTTCAGCAACAATTTAGTCTTACTCAAGGCAATAACTCGTATATTTTTATGTGTTAGCGATTTAACGATGAAAGAAAGTAATAGTTAAAATATTTATTTTCTTAATGGGTAACTGACGAGTACCAGAATCGATATGGGATTAATGAATCGAGGGGGGGGGTCGAGGGGGTGGGGTGGGGCAAGCTGAAGAAGAAGAAGAACGGAAGGAGAGGCCAGGGGTCGAGCGAGCTAGGCTGAAGAAGAAAGATCAAAGTGGAAGGAGTGACTTGGCTAAAGAAGATGAGAGTTGGGGGGAAAGGAGGGATGGAGTGGGACGGGATGAATAACCAATATAAGAAAAGTCCACATAAATCTTTAGTGAAGAGAATAGACAATTGCAGAGAATAATGTACTAAAAATGAGTTAAAGGTTTACGAGAATCCATGATTTTGTAAGTCAATAAGAATGAATGGAACTTTGAATACGCCTAGACTTTATAAACTTTTAAAAGTCTACGTCGAATACACTTACGCTTTTTGCAGACTTTTAAAACTCCACAATAAATACACTTAAACTTCTAAAATACTCCCTCCGTCCCAGAAAATTCTTCCAACTTTGAGTTGGATCGCATATTTAGGTAGTGGAATAAAGTAGAAATGTATGGTTTTAGTTGTGTAAGAAAAAGGTGAAATGAATGTGAGCCACACAAATAATCAAAAAGGTGAAGTTGGAAGAATTTTCTGGGACGTCCCAAAAAGGAAAGTTGGAAGAATTTTCTGGGACGGGGAGTACATAGTTACATACTCCGGGTATACTTTTAATATTTTAAAATTGTCAATAATTCCCCTTAGTTTAGTTTAGAGCCCGTTTGGAGACTTCGTTTTTCGGCTTATCAGGCTTATCAGCCATCTTTTTCACCAAACACGTAATTTTTACTTTCGCATGCTGAATTGTGTAATAAGCAGAAAAAGTAAGGTTGGAGTTACTTTTCTGGCTGTATTGGCTGAAGTTACTGTAGATGAACATTTTAGCTATTTTTACATGTAATTTTTTCTTTATTTTATTAATAAAATATATTTTTAAAATATTTTTTTCTAGAATCAGCAGAATCAGCCAAAACAGCCACTTCAGCCAGAACTTCATAAATTTCAGCAGAAATAGCCAAAACAGCCGATTTTTGTGCTACCAAACGGACTCTTAAACTTTAAACCGCTTGTTTGGCGGCTAACTCGAGCTTCCTCCGTAGCCAGTAAATTATCCTTGTGGGGATTACTTGATCATTCATGCCTGAATTGTTCCGGCAATCTGGTTTTGGGTTAAGAAGTGACTAGATCTGTGAAACCTTGGACTATAGGAGAAGCCTTCCTAAAAAGGTCAGCCGAAAGGAATAATGCGTTGTGGGAAGAATGTGGAGCCATTTGATTTTTGAAGGCGGTGCAGGTACAGACAACGCGCTTCTACGGACGGTAATTTTAAGGGTGGAGAAGTCTTCTGAGATGATTCCGGTGCTGGTCTCCTCCATGATGGCGAACTCAGCTTGCTGTAGTATCCAGTCAATTGCTTGGCCCTCGGACTTGTGGCATGTTTCCCCAGAAAGCTGGAAAGTAGTAGTGGCGCAAGCCGCGAGCATTCGGATGTGCCGTCCTCAGCCGTCTATTTTTATGTGGCGGTCCTTGGTGAATCTTTTGGGCGGCGGTGCAGATGTACTTGGATCTGTTGGGATTTGTTCGAGGGGTCAAGTATGGAGTCAGGTATGGTGGTTCAAGTGTTCAACGGCTGAGAAGCTGTGGTGGATTTTGGTTTGTTATTGTGTATACGATACTTTTTTGAGTTTAAGGTGGAACTGAATGTGTGGTAAATGTCCCAAGGGTTGTTTTCTATTTTTCCCCGTGATTATGAATCTATTATGGGAAATCTAACAATTTTAACCATTTCTGCACTTCGGAAAAGAACCCATGTGATATGTTACAATCTGGATTCCGGATGTCTGGATGACGTATTAGCTAAAACTGTTTTTAGAAATTAGCATGCCTTTTTTTCTGATTAGCACTGAAAAGGAAAACTTTTAACTGCATAAGCTCATAGCGTGAAACATGAAACACTGCTTCAAATGTATGATCAGCCTCTCTGTCTTTTACGGAAACAAATAAGATGATAATGGCTACAAATCTCCACCTGAAGAAACTAACATAAAGTTTTTACCAAAAATACCTCTACTACTAGAAATAGGCACAATGTCGTTACCAAGAAGATGGCAAAAGTTTGTTTCAATTTTGCTATCTGGTTCAGTGGTTCATATTCTAATTTTCTTAAAACTAATATTTAATATACATATGAAGAACATTTACATTATTAAGAGGAATAAGAGGAGGTAAATGTGACAAAGATTAGTTGCAGTTTAACACTATTATAGGAATGATGTAAAAAGTGAAAACTTTGTCATAATAATGCCATGTTTGTGTATAACATTAATTGTGCAAGTATACCTTTATGTCCTAAAGCACATATTAATGGCTATATTTTATCCTTAAGCGCTTTCACTACTTTCCTAATGTCCTAAAACTTGCACCATGCCAGTTAAATTTGTCCCACAACCCTGCCTGCTGCTCCACTCATGGCATAATAAATTCTTCCTACCTATTAGAATAGTTATCTCCATACAGAATATTGCTAACAAAAGAATGTTTATCACGCTTACGATTTCAGTTATACTTTCTTGACCCAAGTAATTTACTGATGTAATGAATAGTTACCTTTTTTCTAGATTCTAATAATTTCTGTAAATGCCATTAATTGATATATTTGAAACTTACCAATTTTTCATATTCAATTTACATTTATACATCAAGGATATACCAAATTTTCCATGCACAAGCGTTGTAGGTAGGGTAGTGGTGAAATGTTGACATTTAGCAAGGGAAATGTAGCTAAACTTAGACTCACTAAAACTGGCATATATTAGTCTGAAACAGCGGTGTAGTAACTTTACAAGAATGGAGAATACAGAATCTTTAATAATTAACAGGTGTGTTTGTATTCGTGTTCATGTTGCTCATTTTCCTTTCATGATTTATGTTTCCTGTGGTATGTTGTTTACCAGTTTTTTGTTTTCTTGCTAGATCCTATATGTAATTTGTAATGGAAGTCTTCAAATGCTTTATGTATAATTGACAATTAAAAAGGTATAAAATTCTTTGATTGTTGAATAAATCATGCACGTACAAGAGGTGTTAGGAATGGGCTCGTCTGTACATATGCAAAATAAGGGTAGATCATTAAAGTTGACTGTATGTGCCCATAGAGAATTCACTTTACAATAAATTGCTGGAAGATTGAATACCATCAAAGTTGCATGAACACTTTAAGCACCTAAAGTAAGATCAGCTGAAGTGATAATACAATGATGTCCTTGATCTTATGTTCTGAATCTGTTGAATGTATACATATCACTATATCTATATGTTTGTCACTTTTATCAGCAACTAGGATCAGTGGTGTGGTCATAGTTTTTATAATTACTTAATATGATCTTAAGCAGACGCTAGAATTTTCTATTCTTGGTTCGTTTATTTGGTTGTAGAAACACAGTTTCATAAGTTATAATTGTGGAGTCTGCTACAATTGTTCATTGATATGCTTTCACAGTACTTGTTTGTCTAGTATTTTTATTATGGTGTATGTTCATATTACTTCCTCAAGCTACAGTTTATGAATTCTATTTCTGATGCCCATAACAAACTTCACTATCAGTATTTTTTATTTTTAAAACCTCTTTTCTGCGTGTTATTTATATGCACTCTCAATTATCAACAGGAAAAGGCTAAGGACTCCAAGTGCTAAGGTGTTTGAAGCTGTTGCATCATACATCGATGTAAAAGAATACAGCAGAAAAAGCCGAACACATGTTAACAAGTTGGAAACGAGTGAAAATATAACTTTGTGTAAAAAGGTGTCAAAGAGTGCAGTTGCTAAGAGCGAACAACCAAACCTTACCAGGCGAAATCAGATAAATGAACAGAACCCGGAAAGTGGAACAAATATAAATCCCAAAGGAGCTTCAGTGACAACTACAAGATTGATAAATAGAATCTGGGGAGAGTATTACTCAAATTTTGTATCCAGGGAGTCAAAGAGGGATAACGGTCCTGCCACAAGAAAAAGGAAGGCTTGTAGAGATAAAACTGAGGGTGAAAAGGACGTTAAAATATCAAAACAGAAAAAATATGGTTCAGATGATATGTGGATGCCTTATTGCCCATTTCGTAAAAAACGGTCAGGTTGTAGAAGAAAGACAAGATGGGATGGAGAAGCAATTGGGGTGACTTCTAACGGAAGTGCTCTTTATGAAGGAGTTTTTATTAGTGGGAGTTTAGTTTCAATAGGTTCCGTCGTTCTAGTGGAAAAAACTCATTTAAATAGAGACTCCAGCATTTGTTTCGTGGAATACATGTTTGAAGCATCTAATGAGAGGAAGATTGTCCATGGAAGAGTGATGGTTGGAGGATTTGAAACAGTTCTAGGAAACAATGCTAATAAGAGAGAACTGTGCCTGACAAATGACTGTATTGACTTTGAACCTTCTGAAGTGATAGAGTCTTTAGTTGTGAAAATGAAACAGACGCCATGGGGATATCAACACCGCAAGGATAATGAAGATAATGATATAGATGAGAGAGAAAGAGCAGAGGAGAGAAGAATGAAAGGATTGGCCACTGAATATTTCTGCAGGACTTTGTATTGTCCTGAAAAAGGCGCTTTTTTTAGCTTGAAAACTGGTTTGATGGGACTTGGTAGTGGGTATTGCCACTCTTGTAATGCAAGGGTATCGCATGAAAAGAACGACTTCACGGTATGTACATCTATGAAAAGCTTCACATATCAGGGAGTTCAGTACAATGTTCTAGACTTTCTCTATTTGAGTCCTCAGTATCTTATGGAGAATCAGGAGGGCAAGAAAACCGTCCTAAACGGCCAACACCAGAAACCCAAAGCATATGTAGTATGCCAACTATTGGGACTGGAGGTCTCTTGCTCACTCAAACAATCTAGCCCTGAATCAGTAAAAATCAAGGTTCAAAGGTTTTTCAGACCTGAGGACATATCTGCACAGAATGCATATGTCTCTGACATCCAAGAGGTAAGTAATCCTTTAAGCTCCTTATTTTATGTTGATTTTTTTTCCGTTATTGTATGCACTAAAATTTGAGTTTCAGATATACTACAGCAAAAAGATTGAATCAGTACCAGTCATGGCAGTGGAAGGAAGATGTGAAGTCAGGAAAAAGGAAGATTTTGAATTTATGGATTCCCCTTATATATATGAGCATACCTTCTTTTGTCAGTTTATATATGACGTTGAAAATCAATCCCTAGAACTGGTAAATGGCTAGCTTTTCATTGTGTTTTTTAAGGTAACCCTTAAAAATACTGTTTTTTTTGTTTATGTATATTTTATTCCTCATGCATGTGATCCTTTATTCCTACAGTTACCATCCCATTTCAAGTTAAGCTCTTCAAAAGGGAGTTTAGGTCAAAAAGCTGCTGGCAGAAAGACAAAAAAGAAACAAATGATCACGAAAGGGGGTTCAGCCAAAACTACTAATGGTGGTAAGGAAAAGACTGCAATAAATGCTTTAACTACCCTGGACATATTTGCAGGTTGCGGTGGCCTATCGGAAGGTCTAGAAAAGTCAGGTATTGAGAACTCGTGTACATTGCCCTGCTTATTTTTATATCCTCAAACATCTTTACTAATAGTGTCCATTGCAGGTGTGTCGGTCACAAAATGGGCAATAGAGTCTGAAGAAACAGCAGCTGAATCTTTTAAGCTCAATCATCCGGATGCCATTACAATTGTTAACGATTGCAACATGGTTCTTAGGTTGCAGCATACTTTTATTATTCAGATTAATATAGGGAGCGGTTCTAAGGAGAACCATGCTTAACGTGAGAACGTAAGAAGCATGCACTTTTAACACAATTTGGTGCAGTATGAGGCTCATCTATTACACTTTTTAAACTTTGGTCAAAACATGTCAATATCAAATAAATGTGGTGGCAGATACGTAAATATTTTGTTGACATGTAAATGTGCAAGGTATAAACGATATAGTGCATCATCACATTTGCTTAAAAGTGGAGTTCTCACGTAGTCACGTTCTCACGTTAAGCATGGTTCCCATTTGATCCTACTAATCCTAGATATATATACATATTTACACACACACACACAGAGAGAGAGAGAGAGAGACGCGCTACATGTGTCCCATAAGAGACGTCGAGACTGAGTGTATTGCTTTTTAAATTTTGGTAGGGTACAATTGTCAAAAATCATGAATCGTGTTAACATTTTATTTAGTTTGTTTGGAGGTTTAAATAAATTTGTCATATATAACTTTGTTGTTAATTGTGACTTTTTTTCTTGGCAAACCATGTGAAAATTAGCTTTGATTTGTAAAAGTAGACTTTTTTGGGACAAGAAATTGTTTAAAACAAGACTCTACTTTGGGATGGAGGGATGTACATTTCACCTCTACTTCTGAAGTGATTTTTTCAACGTCAGTCTTCTCCTTCCCCGCTTTCTAGCACATTCAGTTTGATAACACCATTTCAATGCTGCAGGGATATCATGATGGCAAATGGGGATGCGAATGACTGTATTCCAACATCTGAGGTACACTCCTTGGCATCAAAACACGATAACAAGGAAATCAAACATATGCCACGGCCAGGAGAAGTAGATTTGATCATTGGTGGACCTCCTTGTCAGGTTTAATATATATAATTCATTGTTTAGTTGCTAATTTTCATTTTCTTTTTTCCATCTGAGATTTCATTTGCCTGCAGGGGTTTTCTTTGTTGAACAGGCACAATAAGAGTTCAACAAGTGATGTTCGACGCACAATGATCTTGTCGCTTTTATCCTTTGTGGATTACTTTAGGCCTAGGTTTTTGCTCATTGAAAACGTGAGGAATCTAGTGTGTTTCGACAAAATGAAGCCGTTTCAGCTAACTATAGCTTCACTTCTTGAAATGGGTTATCAGGTAGTATATAGATGTAATCTAAGAGCCGTTTGGGATGACTTATGTTATAAGTGCTTTTATAAGAAGTGTTTTCTCATTTTAGTACTGAAGGTGTTTTTTTTTACAAGCTTGAAGGTCCAATTCCGCTTTTTAAAATAGGCACATAAATGCTTTTTCAGAATTAAAAGAACTTTCTCCATTTCCTTGCCAAATGCTTCTATTTTAGGTAAAAGTACTTTTATTTGGAACTTAGGAATCCTAAACTCAATCTAAATCTATTGTAGAAGAAGATAAACGTTTAGGTTAACAATAAATCATAAAAAACATCTTAATCATTGAGCTAGTCCCCCACTACACCTCTTTCATTCAACCTCACTAATACCTCCTTTTGTGTGGACAGGTAAGGTTTGGAGTCCTGGAAGCGGGATTCTATGGTGTGGCACAGTCGCGGAGACGTGTTTTTATATGGGCTGCCTCGCCTGAGGAGACCCTTCCTGAATGGCCAGAGCCAATGCATGTTTTCCCAGGTCCAGACCTGAGGATCAAGTTAGATTTAAATGGAGATTCCTATTATACTGCTGTCTGTAGCACAAAAGCCGGCGCCCCTTTTCGTTGCCTCACTGTTAGGGACACTATTGGAGATCTGCCAGCTTTGGCAAATGGGGATTCTGCGACAACTATGGAGGTACGTACATACAGTTCCTTTTCGCTTAAGACTGTTTAATGTACCGTAATGCAATCAATTCCTAGTGGTCTATTGTGAATTAACTTCATTATGGTTTACCAAACAATTCCCTAGTGTAAATATTCCCACAATCCTAAAAAATGAGTCATCTTAAATTTGTGTTTCCCAAGAATATTCTTAGATGATCAAACAATCTAATTTTTCATATAATTTTCCAATAATTGCCAAGAAAAGTGTAGCATGTTTAGGAGCAAGTTACACATGATATAAATAGTTAAACCAGCACGTAAATCTTATAAATGTAAAAACCATTGCATGACTTTTAATAGTTGTACTTACCTTGACCCAGAGAGCAGAGGAGGACTGTTTTCTGGGCCGGGGGAATAATAGTTACTTGATCCCTGGTCATCATATCTGTGTTTCTTAAGTTCCTGCACTGACCATTTTGTTCAGTACAAAGGTAATCCTGTTTCGTGGTTCCAAAAAAGGGTTAGAAGAAATATGACAGTGCTGACAGATCACGTTTCCAGGAAATTGAGCGAACTAAATCTGATTCACTGCTATTACCTCCCTACTGGTGCTGATTGGAGAGACCTTCCCAAAAAGAAGGTAATTTTTCTTTAGGTTCTCAATGAAACACAGGAATTTCAAAGTCTCATCTTGCTTTCATGTTTTACAGGTTGAGCTGTCAAGCGGGAAGTTTGTTGATTTAAAACCCCAGTGGTTGCTTAAGATGCAAAGCAAAGGTAGTCATTCTAAAGGTGTACTGGGAAGGTTAGAATGGGAAAAAAACTTCCCTACTGCTATTACCTGTCCGCAACCAAGAGGCAAGGTTGGGAGATGGTTTCATCCCGCGCAGGATAGGCTGATTTCTGTCCGCGAATATGCTCGAGCTCAGGTATATATGTACATCTAGTCATTTCTCAAATAAAGTAAATCACTTTCCACGTTCCACCCATTTATTTTCCATCATACCAAACACTTTTTAGTTGGGTGGGTCATGCACCGTTCCTTTAGAATTTACCAACTTCCCATGGAAACTAAGGATCTGGTTTGGAACATGGAAAAAGTGAAAATGCAAGAGAAAAATAGCAAGGAAAATAGAGACAAAAGTTGGAAGGAATGAATTTTGGGGAAATAAAAGATTTGCTCAAAGTGAATAGTTTTCTCGACCAGAACAGATCAGACCAAACCAGATCAGCAAATTACGGTCCACGTAAAAACATTCTAAGTAATACGTAGTACATGTTTGTTATATAAAGGCTAGGAAATCTAAACATATTTTAAAAATTAAATATAAGGAAAAAAATTCCTTGACACGTTTTTTACTTTCCCCGGTATTTTACAGTATCCAAACCTACCCTTACACGTGGGGAGATGAGAAAGTGATTTTTTTGTAACACTTTGACAAACTTTTCAGAAGCACCAGACTTTTTAAAAGTAAAAGCGTCAAGACACTGATGCATCATGCATGCACTAGATGTATGACAACCCCACTTGCTCACATAAGATTTGTACACACTTGAGAGTGGAATAAGAATTTCCAAAGTACTATCAATCAATCTTTGAACCTGTGTGGATTCATATGTGTTTCCAACTAATAAGAAATTTTACATTCTTCATGTTGAATAAGAATTTGTGAATTGTGATGTAACTATTTTGTATGCAGGGATTTCCAGACTCGTATAAGTTTGCCGGAACCATTAGGAACAAATACCAACAGGTGGGCAATGCTGTGCCGCCACCTCTGGCATTTGCACTAGGGAGGATGCTCAGAGAGGCAATCGGAGCAAATCCTTGAATGTATTAGCACAAACCATTACTTGTAATTTTTTATCTTTTGATGTTAAGGTACTAATTAAATGTCTTATGGCTGATAAAACACTAACTTATATACTATTGTTGACAGTGGAAATTTTGTAATAGGTTTTTTTATGTTTTAGAAAGTGTATTACACCTGTTTAGCTATTTATAAAACATATTTTAGAAGAAAAGAGAAAACATATGGAAATAAAATTTGTTCAATGTGAAATTATATGCATGCTCATTTATGAATCAAATAATTTGCTTTACTTGTATAAAGTAAAGCAAATTTGGTATTGGCATCCTATATTTACTTCAATATTTGTTTTAAACTTTGCACAATTGCACCTCACTAGTAGTCTTGGACTAGGGTCGGGCCACCCGGCCCAGGAACCAGCCCGGCCCGGTGAACCGGTTATGGTTCTGGGCCTAGGCCCGGGCCCGGGCCCGGGGGTTAGGGCGGGGCGGTCCCGGTTCAGCCCACTCTTTGGAACCGGCCCGGCCGGTCCCGGTTCAGGTCTTTATTTTTTTTCCCATTTTTTTGGGCTTTTTCCTGAGTTGGGCTGGGTGTTTGGGGGAGGGGGGGGTCGGGGGTTAATTAGAAAAGAAAAAAAAATACTTGGACCCGGACCTGGTGCTAACCTGGGCCGGTCCTGGGCCTTCAACCCAGATGTCAAAAGCCCGGTCGGGTCCATGAGTACCATGACTACTCACTAGGTCACTTGAGGTATAGGCTTAAAGAAAGCTTTTTTTTTTTTATAAAGAAAGTAAAACATGAGATGCACAAGGTCCACAACCCTGCAGGCTGCAACATGTGAGTGAAATAATGGAGTTTGCACTAGTTGAACTATGAAAGTAGAATTTAGAATTGTAAAAATAAAAAATGAAATATATTTACCAATAATCTTTTTTTAAAAATTAAAAGTGAGTGTATAAGTTAGTAGTTAGTATTTACATTTATCTCATTAGCTTCATATGTTAAGTATTTCCTAAACTTTTTTTTATTTTCAGTTAATTAAATCAACATAGACAAATAAGTTAGTAGTTGGTATTATGGTCTAGTAGAAAATTAGAAATATGGTTCATTAAAAGCTACTCTTTGAAATCTCTATATGGTCAAACATTTTAGGAGGGCGCGGTCAAAATAGTTTTCATGGAATTTTTTATTTTAATGAACATTTTTATCAATGACGCAGTAGAGTAAAATACAAGAGAGAAAGATGAAGAAGGAAAGGGAAGAAAGAAAATAACAAAACAAAAGTACGAAAAACAGCAACCAAACCCAGAATTGCAAAAAGTCCCTCCCCAAAACCCCCTAAGAACAACTCAGTCGATACTTCCAAATTACACTCGTGTTTGAGATATAGTCCTCATAAAATGTGGCCTTTGTTGCTCTTTCTGTAAATCTTAATTTGAGTGTTCAAGTTTTCTATAGGCAGACAATTTTCTCTTGTAACAAATTAGCTTTGTTTACAAATATCTAGATTTGTATCGGAGTCCCATAGATCTTCTATCGATGAAATAGGTGCCCTCTTCCCGCTTTCTGAACCATGGCCAAGGAAATCATCCCCATAAAGATTTGTTTATGTTTACAATTTTTGTTTTGTTATTTTCTTTCTTCCCTTTCCTTCTTCATCTTTCATCCCCATGATATTAAAAGAATCGCTCCATAGACACCTTCACTATCAAAAGCCTCAAAGTATTGATTACCTAAAAAACATCCCTCAAATTGCCAACTCATGCATTAGCGCAATCAATAGCTTTCTCGACATCAACAAGTTTCTTATTTAAAGAGTCGCGATTAGTCCACACCTTAGCCTTTGTGATTTTAATGAATTCCTTTAGAGAGTCGAAGTCAATTTGCTCAGAATTGTGGAAGTCGCAGTCGCCAGTAGAGTTGCTAGTAGATTACTCTAATATATTTGCTGACTTTATTAGCATTTGATTATATGATATTTGTATAGAATTTGTATGAGATTTGTATAGTATATATCACCAATGTCCCATTAAACTTGATCAACTTTCTTTTTCTGGGTGTCCAAAAAGAATCATTTCCACTTAAAGTAAAAAATATGTAATTAAGGTAATTTGTCTCTCCTTTGCACAAATATTAACCATAGAGCTTTTCTTTATTATTTCATGGAGATTTGAAGCATTACTAATTTTTTGGAAATAGTTCCAATGAGGAGATTTCACAAATGACTGTCTATACGTTTAAAATCTGTAGATTTTAAAAATGTTAATGTCATAATGTCATAGACCTTAGGCCATCATGGTAGTAAGACCACACTGCAAAGAATCACAAAGCACATCAAGAAAGAACCTAAAAGCGGAGAAATTGCCATCATGACCTCTATACCTTTACCCATGTGCCATGTCTTCTTTTGTCAACATATATTTGACATTGAGAATCTGTTTGGAGTTACTTGTCTGGTTGTGTAATAATAAGAAAAAGTAAGGTTGAAATTATTTTTCTGGTTGTTTTGGCTGAAGTTACTGTAGAGCATCATTTTAACTATTTTTACATATAATTTTTTCTTTATTTTATTAATAAAATATATTTTAAATTTAGTTTTTTCATAAATCAGCAGAATCAGCCAATACAGCCACTTAATCCAGAACTTCATAAATTTCAGCAGGATCAGCCGATTTCGGAGTTACCAAAATGGTTTTGAAGCATTGTTTTTCTTTTCTTTTTTTCTATATGTTTTGAAAAATCATCACATCTGTGTGATATGTGGGTTTCACTTTCATCTCATGAGAAGTTGATATTTCACATACCAATGTGATGAAATGTTTGTTGATCTTCGTTTTCCATTAAGAACATGTGAGGTTTGGAATGTTGTAAGTCGGGGCAAGTGATGTAGCATAGCCTCAAAACTCATTTGGATTGTATATCTGCTTATACAGCCCTCCACGCTCTATAGTTCCACGATATCGGACCGAGTGAGGTGCAAAGTTTTTTTAGGATATCAGTTTTTGGTTTTACGGCCCTACGCCCTTACCTTTACACCCAATATTTGTTTTTAGGTATCGGAAATCTGCTTCTACAGGCTACAGCCCTTCTCCCTCCACACTCAATATATTTGTTTGTTAGAATATCAGATTTTTGTAGTTGCATGTGTGATGTTTTTTTTGGTAATGGCACTCCATGCATTTTATTATGCTACAAACCAAAACACAACACAACCAAAACAGAGTAAAAATCCAAATAAAAACGAAACATGAAGAAAACTAAACAAGCAAAATAAATTTCTTTAACCCTAACACCTTGTTCAACCCTTGGCGGTGATTCATGAGGAGGCCAGACCATCACTATGTAGGGATGGACTGGGACAGTGGGACGGGTCGGCCCAGCCCGGCACTATGCAGGCCCGGCCGGCACTATGTAGGGGGGCGGGCTACGGGATGGACAAAATGGGGACTGGCCCGCCCGGCCGAGACCGGTCCAAGCCAATTTTTTTTTTAATTTTTGGGCTTTGGACCGCTGGTAGGTGAGTTGGGCTGGGTGTTTTAGAGGGGTTTGGGGGGTGGGGGTAGGAATAAATTAGAAAACCCTAATTTTTTTTAAAAAAACAAAGACCCGATCCGGGCCCGACCCGGTAGAATCATGGGCCGGTACCGGGTCTTAAGCCAAAACATCCAATACCGCCCAAGACTGGCCCGGACCCAGGACCGGTCCATCCCTATCACTATGATTGTTGACGCACCAAAGCGGTTTTCTTCCGACTCGGCCGCCTCTTCTTCTTCATCATCGATCACCAGTTCGTCCGATGCTTCACCAATGTCTGAACCAAGGGCCTTTGAGGCTTTGACTGCCACCGACCTTCACCAATGTCCAGACCATCATATTGTTCGATTAGTTGATCCACCAAGCAAGAAGCCTTTGACTGCCACACCGCCTCTTCTCTTGATGCCTCACCCGCTTCTTCAGTTCTTCTCTAAAGTGCCGCAAAGCTTTCTCCATCGATGATCGAATACTAAGCCAACGAAGGTACATACAATCGTTGCCCCTTAATCGACGGACAATCAGCCACACCCACGGATGGCAGTTTACCAAACCCTATTCAGGTAGTCCATAACTTAATGTTGAACAATTTAAATGCACTTTTATGATAAAAATAGTAACTTTGAATTTAATGATAGAAGTGCTCTAAAATATCAGCATTGCTAGACGCCTAAGCAGCTCCATCAATGCTAAATGGCTGGAGTTGATGAGTGTTTTTAAGGAATTTGACTTTTTATCTGGGGCCAGGGGGAGGGGAGGGGAGCAGGTAGGAAAGAGATGGGTGCAAAGTGTAATCTTTAACTGTGTTACAATCGGCAGTGATTTCCAGAGAGCTACAAACTCCAGCAGATCAGCAATGTTTTCATGCCTCCGCTTGCTCTACATTGGGGAGAAAACTCTAGGAAGCAACCAAAGCATCATAATGGCTTCAACTGACAACAATTGGCTTTAAATTCATACAAGTATCATACTATTATGCTTTAAATTCATACAAGTATTTCCTCTTCCTGAAGCGTAATATCGTCTCTTCAACTGACAACAATTGGCTTACACATTATTATACGTACAACAATATATTCATGTTGTCCCCTCATCATCGTCTTATACAACACAACTTAGGTAGTTGAGAAAACCTTAACTGTGAGATGACTTGGAAAGTCAGCTAAAACGGTATCAATGCAAAATAATGTTATGGCTTCAGTGTATTCTTTACACCGTAAGAGACAGCCCATTGTCAGCCACTGTCATACTAAGTATCATTGTAGCTGCTTTTGGAGCCCTGTGAACATAACATTTTTTACGGGTAAGAGAAAAAGGTCAGTTGCACATAATAATTTTGTAGAAGCAGCATGAGCATGAAGTATGAACACACTAATATAGTAGTAGTATTGTAGAACTGCCTTTTTAATCTGTCTGTATTAAGAAAACTGAAAGAAGAACTGAAGAAGGGGTGATATAGACATAGAGCTGAAGGTGGTTACCAAGCTTCAGGTGTCTGGTAGAGTGAGGCGGAAGTGCCAAAGCAGGATTGAAGCATATCAGTGTTAACAACACCAGGGCTAAGAGCGACGATAGCAACTCCAGGTGTCAACTCCTTTGCTACGGATTTTGTCAGACCCTCTATAGCCCACTTTGATGCACAATACGGTGCCACCTGTCAAGCCAAAAGGCTATGGTTTAACCAACTGGTACTGAATAGTGACGCTTCATTTCCTTAAAACCATGTGGTTGTTTGTCTGAAGATCACAAAAACACTACACTTTCATGCTTTTTCTCTTTCAGGATTGAGATGCCACATTTCCAAGTTCCATTCCCTTATGTAATGCATATATGAAAATAGGGGAACATTCAAATTGGCAAGCTAAGTGTCGGTTTGGACCTATGGGGGAAGGTTTTGGAGGGCTAAGTCTATTCTTAACTGTGATGAATAGTGTTTTTTAAAATGATTGAAGTGTCATAGAAATGTTATAATAACTTAAGGGTCAGTTTGGATGGAGGGTTTTTTAGGGCTTACTGAATCTTTATAAAGTAGAAGGATCAAGGAATAACATAATTAGGGATCATATAAGGGGGTGTTTGGAATTGATTCTGGTTTTGCTTCTTTTTTAAAAGCAAAAGTAGAATCTAAATCAGTTTTTCACAAGCTAGTCTCCCCCACTTTTTAACATAATGCTTCTAAGAACAATTTGGAGCACTTAGAAGAACTTCTGCACTTTCACCTAAATACTCCAATATCTGCACTTAGAAGCAGTTTTAAGATGTAGATCCAAACACCCCCTAACATTTCAATAAAATTTTCCAGATGCCCTCAATTCAGAATTACTAGAATTCCATTAAATTCCAGGTGTCCCCAACTTAGAACTCTATTCATTTCTTTAAAATCTAGGTGCTCTTAATTTTCAGTGGTTTTTTATGGATTCTACGGATTCCAGTGGCTTTTTATTGATTTCTATGCTAAAAAAAACACTATTTACATTACTATCAAAATCCGGCCACTTGTCCTTGGATTCTCATGGATTTCATAGAATTCTATTAAAATATTATACAATCAATGGATTTCTATTAAAATTTATACTCAATCAATCCTTAAAATCTTTCAACTTCTATGTTGGGGACAACCCTATTCATTCATTTTAGGAACAATCTATTTATCAAGATATAGGCTAAGAGCACCACAGCCTTGCCCTCTAAAACCCTTCATTCAAAATATGGAAAATAAAGCAAAAGGTTCAACCTGTCCAGCAGATGTTCTTCCCCATCCAGAAGACAAATTAACAATAACTCCTCCTTGCTGCTTCTTGTCAAGCATAAGTGGTATGAAGTGACGCAGCATATTTGCTACTCCTTTTACATTTGTATCAATCACGTTATCAAATTCTTCTGCTGGGACCTCCCACAGCTTGTTGTTTCTGTTGATGGTTCCTGCATTGTTAACTACCAAAACAACAGTTTCTACATCAACAATCAGTAGCCAGTGTATTGAAGGAAAAATGTAAACTTTTGAAAAAAACCAAACAATACAGACAAAAACTGTCTACACCAGAAGGGTTGAAATAGAGCCCGTTTGGTAAGGGTTATTCGCATAATGTGGCTTAATGTGTTGAACTTTCTGAAAATAACATTGTTTGGAAAATACATTTCACCCAAATTCGCAAGTCAAAAAACTACCTAATCTGAGTATTCTACTTATACTTCTAATGAGTTGAATAATCCGAATTAGGATACCAAGAAGGCTCATAAGGCTCATACCTAGAATATCTGGAATGCTGTTCTTTTCCTTAACGGCACATGCCAGTTCTTCAACACTGCTGTTTGATCTCTGAGAAGCAATGATAAAACAATAATAAATTTAATAATCATCATCATCTAACCATTCATAAAAGAGCAAGCACAATGGTGTATGGAAATCTTCCTGCTTATTAGAATAGCCTTGATTTTTTTTACAAATAAGGTCGATGTAAAAAAGTGTTTTTGTCTCTCTTCCTTGAGTATCCTGGACTATGGTTATATAATTATATGCATAGACTTGCTTAGCTAACTAAAAACCTAAAATCCTATTACGTTGATATTGACTTGGGAGTTGTTTCAAGAAAATCAAAATAGTTAGTAACCCTTGTTGATAAGGTTTAATTAATATTCTGATCATTGAAATAATCTTCAACCAGGCCTTCCAAGAGCTGCCCAGAGTCCAATCGCAACTTGAGTAGAAAAATAAATAAAGGAAAACGTGAAAACTAAATTAAATAGTCCTCAATTCCTCGTTACGAAATCCAGCTGTTAATGGATGGGAGAGAGAGGGAAATCCGGAGATAGTAAGCGTACCACATCAACGTTCATGATTAGGTGTTTACTTTGGGAAGGGGAGGAGGGGGGTGAACCGGAGGCGGATGCGAGCTCGGCTTGAAGAGAATTGAGCTGATCCTGGGAACGGGAGCAGCCGACGATGGTATGCCCTCTTTTCGCCATCTCTAAGGCCAGTGCTTTCCCCAGCCCCCTGCTCACCCCGGTTATCAACACCGTCTTCGGAGCCCCGGTCGCCGACATCGATGGTACTTCCAAGCTTACCGTCCTCGGCGTTGGAGGCGCGTTCATCTCCCGATAATTTCGAAGGACGGAATAGAATTGTGTAGAAAGAGAGAAATGTGTAAAAAATAATATGAACCAAAATTTTTTTTACCAAAAATGAAAAGTTGAAGTTTTATTGGAACGAATGAAAAATGAAAGTTGGAAGACTTATCAGAGATGAAGGGAGTATTATATTCCCTCCGGTTCTAAATCATCTTTACACTTTGACTTCACAGTTTTTAAAGAAATAAATTTGACACTGTTTGACACTGTTTGATATTATTTTGCACTGTTTTGTGTAGATTTGTTCGCCAAATAAGACAAATAAGGAAGTGTAAAGTTTAATATGGGATGGTCCAAAAAGGAATGTGTAAAGATGATTATGAATCGGGGGAGTATTATATTTATCAAACATTGGGAGCCTCTTTAATGATATTTAAATTGATTGAATTTGTTAAAATTGATGAAATTTTGATTGAAGTGACTCAATAAGTTGGAGTTGTTGAATAATAGGTAAATGATGTTGGAAAAATGTGTGAAAAATTGCACTAAATGGCTATTTTGGGGCAATTTTTTGAGTGGGGTCCACTTCCGATTTGGGTCGGGTCAAAGTGGTTTCGGATTGTCCTTGTTAAGGGCTACAATTCGATATATGGTACGCTCAAAACGGATAACGGGTGAATGAGAAATCGCTTTTCGAAGTTTACCCGTTAGAAGGGAAAAAAGGATGGGTTTCTAGTGTGTTAATTTCCCACACCAGTTAACCCAAGGGATTTGCTACCCTTTATAAAGGGACTTCCCCTTATGGAGTTAAGATTCTTAAGGGTAAAGGCTCTCTCCACACGCGCGGGGAGGGGGGGTGCAAATCAAATCCCGATTCGGAGAAGAAAAACCGTGACTTGCCTGCGCGGGCGACCTGCGGACACGAATGCCATCCAAAAATCCATCTCTCAAGAGATACGGGTAATTTTTGTTTTCTTCCCGAAACGTATAATTTTTCCCAAGTTGACAGAATTGCTCCGGGCAGAAGGCCACGACCAGAGGTGCTCCGGTTCTGATGACCGCGCATCAGAACTGCTCCAGTTCTGATGGCCTTCGGGTCTGATGACCGCGCATCAGAACTGCTCAAGTTCTGATGGCTTTCGGGTAGAGATGCTCCGGTTCTGATGACCGCGCATCAGAACTGCTCCAGTTCTGATGGCCTTCGGGTAGAACTACGTAGGGGTCTTTTGATGGCGCTTCTGAACCGTTACAACAATAAATGCCCAACGTTTATATCTTTTAATGCAGTGTTAAATGGACAGTTCATGGACAATTCAATGCCCAACGGACTGGTCATTGATGTCCAACGTTCAGGTCCATTAATTCACTATTTTCATACAACAAATCCTCCTATATAATGGCTAGCAGGTGGTTTGCAACAACACACGTTCTTACACGCATTCTTGCACTCCATACACGTTTTAGCTCTAAAAACACACTGCTAGCATTCTGAAAAAATCCTGAGTGTTCAGACTTGTTCTCGTTCGCTGGAACTTTTGTTTGTGTGCTCAAACATTAGTTCGTTGTCATTGTATCCTGGGAAACTATTGTTGCAACGCTCCTAGCACCGTGGGAGGCAACAAATACGTTTTAAGGACATCGTGCGTAGCACGAGCTTTGACAAATTCTACTCCATCTCTTTTCTTGTTTTCTTTCGTCATTTTATTTAATTAATTTATTTTAATTAATTTTCTTTATTTTTCGAAACACACCCAACAAATGATATTGTAACACCCCGGCCCCACAGGCCCGAGGTAGTTACTCCAGACCTCTAGTACTGTCCTCACAAACCGCCACTAGCCTTTACCACGCACTTTGTCCTCACTCATGCGCGCCCTGAGAAACTTCCCAGGGGGTCACCCATCCCAAGACTACTCCCGAGCAAGCACGCTTAACTTTGGAGTTCTTAGGTAATGAGCTCCCTTAAAAGGAGATGCACCTCTGTTGGTATGAGTAGTACTATTAATCCGTTTATATTAAAATCTCAAGCGTTACAGATATTCATGTCAATAAAATAAAGAAAAAATTACTCCGTATATAGAATGCTAAAATGGTTATTTACTTTAACTTCAGTCTAAAAATTAACCTTATTTTGAGAGTTTGTTCGATAAAAGTGTTAGCCAATAAGCTTGATAAATTCAGACGAGGTTACCACACGGGCTCTTATATGGTGGCGTACATAGAACTTTTCTCAAGAGGGGACACTACTGCATGGATGGAGACACACCATATCGGGCTTGAGCCTAATCTATTCTGTCTTGCTCGGGTGTGCAAACAATTTTTTTAATAGGTCTTCAATGTCAGCTTCAAAGACTAACATTTATGCATAATAGGTCTAAATTTCAACCCATTAAAACAATTGTACATAATCATATTCAATTTTTTGAAAGAAAAAGAAAATATGAATTAGAATTGAATCATCTTAACAACATTTCTAGTTTTGGATTAGCATTCAATTGATTTTTATACTACAAACGGTCAGAATTTTGATTTAGAACTATGACTATGTTGTCCAAGTTACACGTCGTGCCACAACATTACCGTATCCAACGTTTCTTCAACATCTAGGCAATAAAATATGAACCTTATGTGTAATTCCGGCCGAGCTAAACTATTTTAATGTCTTCATTCAATCATATCCTTATTGTAAGTACAACCTTTTTTGATAACTCTCTCATGGTTTTGTATTGTTTTTGTTGAAATACGCCCTTTCATTTACAATAAGATCCCAACGTTTTTGTAACATAACCATGGACAAATATCCAAAGAAAGTATCCGCAAACTTCTTCTTTTTTGTGCAATAGAAACCACAAACAACTAATTGCAATTGGTGAGGAAACAATGAATATATCTTGTGTATGGAATTCCATATAAGATAATCTTAAACCAATAAGGTCACCACACATATTAGAAGTTTCATCATATCATTACCTCTAACTTTGAAAAAAAATAGTTCATACTTCACCAAAAAATTCGCCAATGCCACTTTTCAAAGAATGGGCATGCCGACAACATGTCTAACTGCATGAAATCATTCCATCATAATTCCATAGTCGTTTAAATATTTTATAACAATTTACGTATGCTCTCTGACGAAATTATTACATATCTAATAGTTATAGTTTTTATCCGGAAAGGGGGGCACTAATTTTATCATAATACTAATACTAAACTTTGGGGTCTAAAGCGAAAGTACTTGCCCCTCAGGCCTACCCTTAGGTCCTCCACTACATACTGTCCACATCCCTTAGGATACATGTGTATGGTGTAACCGTTTTAATATGAACAACTATGATATTTGAGAGTTCAATGAAGGATATGGATAGATAATAGGAGTATTGAACAAAGAGGATAAAAGGAGTATGACAATTTTAATATTGACAATATTTATTCTTATAGTACTAAGAATGAGGCTTACTTTTTAAATTGGGGGCATTGCATTATAAAGTTTCCCCCTAAGCTATTTATTGGGATTTCATTGGAAGCATGTACCCCATTGAATACAGTTTGCATCTGCCTCGATGACTTTTAAGACAAATAGTTTTAATCTTGCAAATTAAATTGTGAGAGTGAGATCGTTACATTGTGCGCACAGTATACCGATCTTACTACACCGTATAAAATATTATTTATTTACATTCTTTTTTCTTTTTCCCCGCAGTTCATCATTTTTCTTTTTCCTTGGCTTCTTCTCCTTTAATTTTTTTTCTTCATTTTTTCTCCTTTTCTCATATACCAACATCCACGTCCAACACTGGTTGTCCTCTTTCTTTGGAATTAGAAACTTTGGCGAGCCGACTCGACTCGACTCACATTCTTACCGTTTTTTGGTTCCATAAGCTCAATATCCATGCTTGCACTTTCTTCAAAAAAATCCTGGATCAGCTTGCATACGTCTACGCTTCTGACAGAGAGAGCCTTCCTTTCTGGCTCCACTATCATTCCTTCTTTCTGCCCTGCACACCACCAAAATACCCCTTTGTCCTACATCTTCCTCTCTAGTCATATGTGAAAACATACACGTCTTCTCTTTATTACCTCCATAACTCTTCTCTCCTTCACTTAGTATCAATCACTTATTTCCTCACACCACATGTCTTCCCCCCCAACCGCTCTCAGCCATGGCCCATATGTTTTCTCAACTCCTAAGGAGCCACACTCCAGTAACTTACGGCAGAACTTCTCTGCACGTCCAATAATCCCGCACAGAAAGCAAAAACTTAGTATTTTTTCATATTGAGAATTCACGATGAAACTCTTCCCCTCGCCTTTTTTTTCAAAGGTTATCTAACATCCAGAGTAACCCTGATTCTCACAAGCGATGTCAGAATTCCCCAAAAGTACTTTCATCAATACGAATAAAAGAACCTAGATAGTTCGAATTATTCAGAGAATACACATAATTCCCACGTAAAAGTGACTTGCTATAGGAGGTTATTCTCCGATCATGGATCTCGATTGACGGACAAGCCATATAGTTGGTAATAAATAGAAATAGTCAATAGTTACTACTCCCTCCGTCCACCTAACTTTGTCCCGTTTTACCTTTTTTCGTCCATCCCATTAAGTTTGTCCCATACCATATTAGGTAATGTTTGAGTGGTTAAAATTCATTCTTACTTTATTTACATTTTATCAATTCAATACTAACCATACAATTCTACTTTTTCTTAAAAACCACACCACAACCCTTTGACCCAAACTTAAGAGGACAGAGTTAGTATTATTTTGAATGAACCAACAATACTTATGATTATTATTTTTCATTTTTCTTATTTAATTATTTTTTTATGTAATTTTTTCTTGCTTTGGTTAGTAAAATATCATGTATATTTTATAATTTTTCCATAATTGAACCCATTCCAATTCAAATTAGAATGACATCAATGAATTTGAATAGATTTAACAGATTCATTAAATTTCAGTTTTACAAAATGAATACTCGTATCTTTTATTTTCAATGCCATTTTTCAGTTCTAGTTTTTGGGGAGTTTTTCCCCGCATTAATGCTAATCAATGTTCTAAAAGGCGCTAGGCGCTAGTCGGGCGCCAACCCAACGCCTAGCGCCTAGGCGTCTAGGCGGGTGCCTAGTCGGAGACA